CAGCCTACCCTATATCCAGCAAGAACTAGAACATTCGCCAAAGTACAGGATAATTCTAGAAAGTAGAGAGCGTGAGAATCACATGATCTCGATGACGCAACAGTACTTTTAAGTTGTTTCCTTTGCCGTTGTTGTGTGTTTTAAAGGTTCTAATTGTTGACACTATATAGTCTCGTTCACGTCGAGAACAATTATGCATATAGACAATATAGAGTTGTTTTTGAACAGGAATTTTGTTCATAACTCTAAAAAAAATATGATTATTATCTATGGTTTGTAAATAATCTCATCTCAACCTGTGAATAATATTTTCTTGTAACTTTTAGGCGCTTGTGTGTCTGGCTAAATAGTCTTGAGTTAGCGGACAAGGTAACACGTTATAAATTAATGACAGCACTCGTGGTGTCGTTTTCTCGCAGTATGTATTTATAATAGTACTGTTTACACTCTTCAATGGAAATCCGATCTTCAGTTGCAGTAACCACTGTTTTGATTTTCATTAGTTTGATTTGATAATACATAACATTGTTGTACACTTGAAAAGCTCTGTGGATTAGAATATAAGCTATTTTTTATAGTTTTGAAATATAAATATAAACTAATAAAAGTATTTTTATGATAACAGTCAACTTAAAAACTATTTACATCTTAATCTGATTGTCTTAAAAAGAAAAGTTCTAAATCAGACAGTAGCCGGGTAGTGGACGAACGACCACTCCAATATTCTAAAAAACCAAACACTTACACTGTATACTGTCTTTTAAGTGTTTTTTTTTTTTTAATAAATGCTTGAGTTTCATGTAAATTAGTTAAGTTCTTTGTGTAAAAGAAAAAATCCATATTTCTGTGTGGAGGGGAGACACACTCTGTAGTGCTGGCTACGCGTCTATTCTGATTCACTTGCTCTTCTGCAGTGAATTTAATGCATTCGTGTTGTTGGTTGAGATAATCAATGAATAACACAGGACTATTCTTTAAATATTATCAAAGCATTATCAACATATATTTTATATATCAGAAATTTGTATTTGTCTGGAGAGTTCTCTTATCAGATCTTTTTATTTTGACATGAAAGCAACACCATCAAACTGATGATAAAATTCACTGTAAGAAAATGAAACTATTATTTTGTAGCAAGCACAGTTAATTTGTAAACTGTGTACTTATTCAAGCCATTAACCTTCATTCATTTTTATAAACAAGGTCACTTGTCGGTTTTACTACTTCATTACATGGAATATTTGTATATAAAGATGCTATAACAAAGCTAGCACAAAAATTGTGTTACGCAATTTTAAGCCTTTAATAAATGAAGCAAATGCTAAACTCTTTTTAACTGTATAATTATAATCTTGATAAGCTTTTCTTTCACCTTTAAAATATTATGGAGTTTAGGTTATTCACAGTCCAAAGCATTACGATATATGATGGTTATTCGAATAGCAGAACAATTTAAATCTTTTGGAAAATTTATGACGTCCTGCAATTTTCTGAGAAATACTTTAATGAGTAAATAAAACTTAACAAAAGAAGCGTTTTTCTTGGTGGATAATGAAAATTTAGAGGGTAGTCAGAAAAACTATGAATTACTTTTTCTGGATCAACTAAGAAGGAAGTAAAGATGCTCAGTTTTGATTGAGGTTGTTTAATTTATTTTACTGTGTCATCCTATAATTTTAGATAACTTTTTTGTTTACATTTTCTTTATTTAACCGAACTGAATTTAAATAATCTACCAAGCGAATTTCATAACCAGTAAGTTAGATTCTCACAAAGGTATGTATTGACAATCAAGTTGTGGGATCTTTTTTAATGCAAAATCGCAATGAATGTAACTGAAGAAAACCCAACTATCTTTTATTTATTTATTTTTATTCAGTATTTTTGAAACCCAATAGCATCTATACAGTAGTTTGCTTTTAATTTCGTCTTAGCATTGCATGTGTAATTTATGAACAACAGTTTTCAGTGTTCGGTTTAACCAGCCCCTGCTACTTGTAATATTATTTTACCATCTTAATTAATCCATTAACTAGCAAATTAAGATAGAGCTACTTCAAAATCGATTCTAATACAGGTTAATATTTCTAATAAAACCCAAAACTAATGCCAAAACTTGATACAGTAAATATTCTCTTAATCAACAACAGTAGTCAGGGTGTCACTTTGGACGCACGCGCTAATTGGCTGCCTCAAGCAATAGATGTAGGGGTACGAATGATGACGTCATAGTGCCACGAAGTAACACAAGGAGGTGTGGTGCTAGGGGATAGGTGATATCATAGTGTTACTTACCAAAAATCACGTTGCTAGGGGAGGGGTGGCACCTTAATATTACTCACCAGAGAGAGTGTTGTTGGTATCCTGAAGTGGATAGGTTGCTAAGATATGATTACATCATCAACATTGTAGTTTATATTTAATTACTAGCCCTAAAAAGGTACAAGTAAAAGTATTACTTCTATTTTTGTATTTGTTATATTTTAAGTATTGTATAGGTTTATCATAACTGTAGTAGCTTAATCTTATGTCTTGTTGACAAGACAGGTGATATCACTAGGCAAACAGTGTTTTTCTAGATGGATAGTGCTACTAATGTACTACAGGTGGGTGGTCTTAGTAATGCACAATAGGCGAATATGGTTGCTAAGGTCATTGCTGCTAGGGTCAATAGTCTTACTAAGGTACTATAGACAGACCAAGGACAGTGTTACTATAGTTCCATAGGAGGTCATTGAACTGCATATAGATTTCCATTTGTGTTTACTTTATAGTTTTCAGTGTAGGGTAAAACTGAACAAGATTTTCTACTAGAAGGACAGAATCATGTAATTTCTGTTGTAGGAGTTAATAATATCACCTCTATTTGTTTATGTATCAATTTGAGTTATCATGGTATTGATATGGCATCTGATAAGGTTCTCTTTATTTTATCAAATTCAGAATGGCAGAATGTATGTGCACAAATTCCTCATTTTGATACTTATTTAAATGTTATATTTCATAATGAAAATAAACTGAATGATTAGATTAAATCAATTCTTATTAATATATTGATGAACAAGTGTGTCCTATTTTACACATACTGAAGAAAGAATAGTGTGAAACATGTGAAATCGATTATCTTAGTTAGACTTATCATTCTGGTAACATTTCAGATCATGATGAGATCTTTGAGATCTGCACTGACAAGAGTGAATAAATTTTTTATTCAGTCTACTCTTAATCAAAGAATAACACAGTTAAATGTGTCAGGCCCTATTGATGAAACTTTCTGGGATATTGTAGAAAAATACAATTTTATCCAAGATATATCAAAAATTATTTGTATGTATCCTATTTTCGAATATTTTAAGTAAAAAAAAATCTCAAATAACTGTGATGATAATAAAAAAGTTCTGGACAAAATATTTCAATTTTGTTGCTTTTATTATTTCTTATGATGAAAAATATGGTCTACAAGAAAAGACATCTCTTCTTTCACATCTTATTAATCCATCACGTTTACTGTACAATGTTTATCATTACAAATTATACTTTACATCCAAAAGAAGTTGTGTGTTCACTATTTATATTTAACAATGAAGAACAGATTGTCTTTGTCACTGAACTTAAAAGTCTGTAAAAAAACAAATTTATCTATTCTTGCACTTTACATAATGATACAGAAAGATAAATGTATTTTCATGACATTCTTTTTCTCAAGATTTGAGGGTACATTGAGAAGTTATTTTCTGTTTTTAAGTTACTACTTTCTGTTTTTGGTCTAAAACTCACATATTTATAGTTTAAAACTACTACTGTTTACAAATATAACTTACCAAGATCTATCTATACATAGTCTAACTTCTTCAGAGTGTAATTCTTTAGCCAAATAAAGAAATAGCAGTATCATCTATTTTACAGTTGAGGTTCTGTTCTTCAAATTTATCCATGGGGCACATTCTACCGACAAACTAACAGCTTGATAATCTTTTATATTTAGGAATATCACAAACTGAAGCATGTATGGATTATAAAATATTGTATTGCCAATATTAAATTAACTTTCATATAAGTTTTTACCACCCCACCATTGATTTCTTTCAAATGTGAAAGGAATTTGAAAGACTGTCTTAATACATTC